ACTACTCTACAGAGGAGTGCACATTCAATTACACACGTTATTTGAAGACTAGCAGGAGAATTACATTAGAAGTAGTTATTGAAGAGAAAGAGTGTTTGCAAAAAAATTAACTTCATCATGAAAGTAACTATAAGTAATTTTCTTTACATAGTATAATCAAGAAGCCAGAAGAAGAGTCAAAGGAGCCACCAATGAAAAAATTGAAGAAGAATAAGAAATTTAAAGAATAAGGCTTACATCCTGTTATTTCTGGGCCTCTTTCAAGTGGTTTATACTTGTATGTGTAAATACTAAATGAAAATTAAAATATCTACCTTGTTGTTTACTGAGTGCCACTCTTAGTAACATAATTTTGTAGAAAATAATAATTTGTATTATTAGACAAATGAAAATATACTCTTAACATCCAGTCTGCAAGCCAGGGATAATGTTTGGTAGATTAAGTCCCAAACAAAAGTTTCTAGTACTTTTTTTATATTTTAAATCTGAATAGAAACAGATGTGAACTCCTTGTGATATATAGAATCTGAATTCACACTATATCCAAACTGTAAATGAATAAAACCCATACTACCATCCAAATTCACACACAAAAGACAGTAGTGAGTACACATGTTATGTAATATAAGATTGGGTTCCTCAGCTTTTTGAAGTCGTTTTTGTTAGTTTTGTCGAAAGAGATGGCTGAGAAAGCTCATTGAAGCTTACTTGTTGCTTTAAGGTGGCCAAAATGTGGTACCTGCCTGAACATGAACACTTAACTATTTTGTTTGAGAGGAACACAGTTTGGACAAACCCCTAAAATCTGCATTTCATGGCCAAACACTGCTGGAAAGTGATTTCTTTTAGCAGTAAAATATGTTTTTGTTTTTTTAGCTTAACAGATCAAGCCCTTTATTGGAATACTTTATTTTTTTGCTCTAACTTGAATACCAGAAACTGTGACACCCTCTGTAGCCCACCTAATACCCCAAATTCAGTCACATTGACTCAACAGACTGGATGTTAAAAGTAAATAAATTTAGATTTCAAATTAAAAACATTCTTTGATTCCTCATTCTTATATGGCTCAAACACAGGAATTATCAAGCCAATGATGTTAAAATATCCACATTTTTTTGCTAATTGCAATTTTTACCAATCTTGTATGACAGATGGCTTGTTTGGTTTTAAATGTTGATATAGTCGTTTTGATAGCTATATTGTTTTCCATCTACAAGAAATACAAGGAGAATCATATAACCATTTATATTTATACATTATTTTTTATTTTAATTATTTATTTTTTTATATTTTTCTTTTTGTTTTGATAGCAAAACCAGTTAAATACTTGTCTACCATGAGGGGGGAAATGACTTCAGTAGGGCCATCTCAAAAACAAGTTCTGCAAATAGCAAAGATACATTTTCACTCCTATTTCATGGTGCTAATTATTTGTTCCTGTGGTAGATGACAGGAATTCACCTTCATTAAAGGTTGTGTAGCCATTCATATTAAATATATGTGGTATATATAATTTGAATAATTGTTGGCTGGATCTAGGCCAAATGTCCATGAAGCTTAGCTTGAGATATATAATTGTTTCAAGTAAAAACTTTTATACAGAACTTCAAAAAGATACTTTGGCAATTTACACCAAAAAGTGTGTTATATCCAGTGGTATAAAAAATACTTAAGACTACATCTTGAATGTTGTAACCCCTTTTGGCCCAAGTAACTGAGCTCTCTAGCAAACAGATCCAGTTTATATTTTTTTTGGCAAATTGCATTAATAACCTATTTTTCAGGTTTCATTTTAGTATGTTTCGAACAGAAATACACATTAATATTTCCTTAGGTCATGTGCATATAGTTTTTGTGGAGCTTTTATTGATTTACATGTATGTAAGAATTGATCTAAAGAATGCAATTTTAATTTTCTATTGAAAATATATTGTTTAGCACTGGAACTCTTGAAATATGTACAGATATCATTTTCTTTTACTCTAGGTTTAGGATTATAAATATAAGTAGACATACACTCTTAACTCCAATTTTTGTTGTTAAGCTTTAAACACCTAAAGCTAGTGAATCATTGGAAACTATAAAGCCTGACATTTGGGGTATTGTTGTTTGTTACTTACTCAAACCTTATCAGCTCTTCGTTGACATTAAATGAAGTTTCAGATGCCTAAGAGTGATTTACTATATGTTTTCCAAACCCAGTTTAAGTGTGCTATTTTTACAATTTTAGAAATACAATTCTGTTTTGGTATGGTGTGGCTTAGTGGTTAGTGTGCTCAGACTGTGAATTCAAGGGTTCAAGGTTTGTGTTACCATAAAACGAGCTCTACACTGTGGGGTTGTAGGGGCACTAGAAGGGTGATGTTCAAAACTGTTATTTTCTCAGACAAAAGTGGCCCAAGAGTTAGCAGAGAGCTGTTGACTAGCTGTCTTCCCCTAGTCTATCATTTCAAAATTAGGAACAGATATTTGTAGTTCTACACAAAAATTCTAAAACAAACTGTTTAGAACAATGTTTTAATAAAGGCAACATTTCCAATGTATACAGTTTTATCTGTAATCTTGAACCTAGGCTAAAGGATAAAAATATTTGTGAATAAACCAATATTTCCATGAAAAAAAGAAGAATCCTTAATGTAGCCTTACTAATGAAGTGTCTTTATATCTATATAGTGAAATTTTAACAAACTTACTGGATAAATACTAGACTTGTTTCTGAATTTCTACTATGGTATAATTTTTTAAGTGCTGTTTTGTTTTTCCACCAAAGTTCGTATCTAATTGCAAAACTCAAACAAGCAATGTTTTTACATCTCTATACTGAAATATTAATAAAGTTTTTCAGATAAATATCTGACTTGTTCCTGTCACTATAAAGGCAGTAAGACACTTCATTAATAAAGCTACATTCAGATTTCCTGTTACTTTTCCATGGAAGTGTTGATTTATACATGAATATCTTTATCTTTAGCCTAGATTCAAGATTACAGATAAAACTGCATACATTTGAAAGGTTACCTTATACAAAAAAATCTTCTTGTAACAGTTTCTATCATTTACAGGTTATTTTTGATTATTTGGTAAAAATAATGACTGTCATTCTTGCAGCGCCTTGGATTCGTATTTTGAGTACGTTAGCCACTAGTACACGTCATGCTCATGTTAAAAAAAGAAAAAAATGTTTCTCACCACAGCAACGCCTTTGATCTTTTGAAAACCTTGATCAATCACCACTTTTACAAAAAACGAAACAATAGTTCATCTTATTATTACATCATTTTACCTTAATTTAGTTTATAGGAACTGAGAGCAATAATTCTCAGTGTACCAAGTATATATACACAAATGTTTGCGACTTCATCTCGTAATAAATAATGTATTATCGAAACATATGATGCAACGTGTGTACATTATTCCACGCGACAACTTCAAATAAAAAGATTAATGAAATTATACCCATTAATTTTAATCGAAGTGGTACTTTGAAGTGAAGTTTTAGACACTATTACAATGTTATGTACTGAAGTTGAATTTTTTCAGTACGTTAAAACTAAAATACTACTATGCAGAAATCTCGTTACGACAATGACAAATATCACTAACAGATACCGCCACCAGTGCTGTATTTATAGTAAATATTATAATGGAAAATACCATAATACGTGTTATTTTATTTAAATGCGAGTCTCTTTCTTTCTTTTTTATCACAAAATGTAGTTTATTATATTTACTTGTAACTCCTTTTTAACATCATACCATTTGATACCCTTAATAAGCTTTTAACTAATACTTCGAAAAAGAAATGATGTGGTAGTTAAATCTCTTGATATTTGACAACTTTGACTGTTATATAGTCAATGTCTAAAAGAACATTAATAAATACTGATGGGCCAGTAGTGGTTTAAAGGTTATCGTGCCTGCACTGAAATCGAAGGTTTATAGCTCTTTGCCGCGAAAACGCGCTTCAAAATTTGGGGCTATGAATGCACTAAAATAATAAGGATCGGTCTGACAAGGTGTGGGTGCCGGCTGCCTTCCCTCCAGTTGAGCAGATTAATTAAAATTAAGGATGCGAAAATTAAGAAGCAGACAAAAACATCTGAAGATATGCAGAGAAAGAACCATAGTTATAATAACACCCAAACGCAAGAGAAAGCTTGTCTGTAATTGGCCAATTGCAATATATTCCATTTAACTATGTATGTTTGGCAAAACAATGTATAAGATACAATAGGAACACTCAGTTTCAAGGGTCAATTCAGTTTAAAGCTACTAAAATTTCCGGCTTTAAAATAAAGATAATTTTGTGGCGTGTATATATATACACCTGGAAAAAAGTTAAGCACCCCCGTGTTTTTTTCAAGTGATTCAGATTCGACGTTCTTGTGACTGATTATAGATTACCATTCAATCTAAACGTGTTTATCAAATGAAATTATGCATTATTGGGCACAAG